AGGCTGGTCTCGAACTTCCAACCTCAGGGGATCTGCCCGCCTCGGCCTCCCAAAGTGCTGGGATTACAGACGTGAGCCACCGCGCCCGGCCTTAACTGAGACCATCTTAACTGGATCTGAAAGAGGGTCAGCTCAGCTCAGCCTTCTGGTCTTAGGCCCACTCACTGCCTGCACTTGCCCGGGATCTCCTGGAGGAGCACGACTAGCAGAGACCACAGCCTCAGTTTTCTTCCTCAGAGTCTGTGTTCTCGGCATCTCAGCCTCTCTGTTCAGCCTCAGTAACTCTGTCCATCTCTGAGTCTCGGAACCTCCCTCCCTTCGTCTGAGTTGTGCTTCAGCGTTTGTCCCTCTGTCCAGGTCTGTCTCTGTGTCCCCCCATCCCCCACCCAGGCTTTGCCCTGTGTCTGGGACGCAGGGGCCTGGCTGGTCTCTCATGCTCCTTTCCATCCCCTGGCACTGCCTACAGGATCCGACATGAAAGCAAAGTCCTCCCCAGGAAACAGCAAAGTGCTGAGGGGAGTGCACTTTAGGGGGGTTCCCTGCAACCCGTGCCCCATGGGCCGGTTAGGAAGCTGAGCCCGGAGATGCCAAGGCCAAGTCCAGGCTGGCACTGTGGGCAAACTTGGGTTTGCTGCTGTGGGTTCCCGGCTGAGGTCAGCGCAGTACTGCGCAGTGGCCAGACGAGGGCACAAGAGACAGCAGGTGCCACAGCCGGAGCAGGAGCTGGGAGCCTGAGCCTGCAGCCCTCGGGGTTGCTGGTGATGAGGGACCCTGCCTTCCTCCGTCCTCTGCTGTGTGACGTGGGCAGGCCAGTGCCCTCTCTCTGAGGATGTTTCCTTTCCAGAATATCAAGGCTGACTTTGGAGTCATGCAGGTGGGTTCCAATCCTGGTTAGCCTCTTACTAAGCTGTGAGATCCTGGCTAAATCCCTGCGGCCCTGAGGCCCACAGACACCGAGGAGGGCCACATCCATTTGGAACCTGATTAGACGGTCTGGGGAGGGAAGACGGGCAGGAGGGCGGTAGTGAGGTCCCCGTCACTGGAGGTATAGGTTCCCAGCTGGGCAGCAGCTTGGGGCATAGGCTGGGAATGGGAGGGTCCCTCCTACGCGGACAGCCTGTGACCCACACACAGGAGGGACCTGGTGCCCCTCACACCTGCAGATCTGACAGCAGGACTAGGGAGCTGCAGGGACAGAGGGAGGACCATCTTCCCCCAGCGTCTTCCAGCAAGGGTAGGCTGGGCCTGAGCAGACAGCCTCTGTCTTCCAGGGAAGGTCAGGAATGACGCTAATGGTGGACTTCTGGCCCGTCCTGTGCCTGGCATCCCATCATCAGTGCCCGGTAGAAAGGATCCCAGCCCCCTGTGATGGTGAGGAAGGAGAAGGCACAGCAGAGACCTGGGGGTCAGGGGGGCTCGGCTCCAACCCCGGGTTTGCTGCTGACTTGCTGTGGACCTGGAAACCCCACTGCCCTCTCTGGGCCTGTTTCCCTCCCAAGCTCGAACACCATCGCAGATGTCAGATTAGTCTCTGAACAAGAGAGAGGAGAGGCCAAGGCTGGGGCCTGGCCCTGGGTCCACCTGGACAGCTCTGAGGTTTTGGGGACTAGTGGGACAGAGGGAGGGCTCTTTTGGATGCCAGAAGTTTCAGGGGGACTAGGACTCCGTGGTCCTTGTGTGGGCCCTGGGTCTGCCTGCCCTGGACTCCATTGAGCAGTTCTGGTTTGGAACCACAGTAAAAATGGGGAGGGCAGAGCCCTCAGAATCACACGGCAATGGTAGGCAAGGGCTACTGGGCACCCCCAGACCCCCAGCAGGGCTGAGCCCCCTCCAGGAGCCCTCTGCACAGTCACTACGAGTGAACAAGATGCACCACACACAGGGGACACACATCAGCCACCCAGACACTTGGCCCCAGGGCAGACATGGGCACAACCATGTGCACACACAAGGGTACCCACATGTGAGCACCCAGCCCCAGGGACACACACCCAGACACACATGGGCACAGAGCTGCATATGCACACTCACAACTGTGCCAGCCTCTGCCAGGCCTGTCTTGGCTCCCGAGACAACCAGACCGCAGGAGTGTCCTCTGCTGCCCCTGATTCTGCATTCCCAGCCCAGCGGGACAGGTCCAGAGATGCCCGGAAAGGAACTATCATCCCTGGGACCAGAACCCATCTCTGTCCTCTGCCTGACATGCCAACATTAAGGCGCCAGGTATTCAGAATGTGAGGGTTTCTCTGCTCCAAGGGCCTCAAACATCCCTGGATGTCCCTCGCTTAGGCAGGGAAGGTGGCAGACCTGTCATATGGGGTGACAGGTATGGGGTGTGGCCTCTGTGTCGGTGGCAGCCTGGTGTGGCCTCTGTGTGAACGTGGCCTCTGTGTCGGTGGCAGCCCGGTTTGGCAGGCGGTCAGAGGTCGAGGACTCAGTGGCTGTGGTTGGTGGGGCCCTGGCCCTGAACACCACTAACCACTCAAAGGAACCGTAACACTGAGCTGGCTCCTCGGAACCCAGAGACTCTGCCCCCTGTCCACCGAAGGCCCAGGGGCAGGGCTTCCCCGCCGGCCTCATCCCCATCTCCATGGTGAGTTGGCAGGATTTTCCATTCCCGCACAGTGGTTTGCCAGGAAGGCCTTCCACTGGGTGGAGAGGGAGAGGGGCACGCAAGGGATCTCAGAGCCTGGAGGACAGGCCGGGGGTAGGGGCTGGTGCAGGCAGGCAGCGGGAGGGGTCCGGACTCACCCGATGACGTAGACCAGGACCACCAGCTGGATCAGTCGGAAGATAACGCCCACCTTCTTGTTGCGTACCAGCACCATGCGGGGGGTGTCATACTCGAAGAGGAAGGCGGCCAGCTCCTCCTGGAACCGCCGTGCCATGGTGGGCCGGCTGGGGCTCAGAACCGAGCCCCCTGCACGGCCGCTGCTCTGAGGGTGAGCCGGGTGCCACCACCCACGTTGATGACAGAGCTTCTGGGGGCTTCCTGGCCCCTTGGGAAGAGCGGGGCAGTGCAGATGGGGCCAGAGGACAGCAGCCAGAGGTCAGCTGGAGGCACTTGGGTGGAGAGAGAATCCCTGGGCGGTCAGAGCAGCTCTTGGCCCCTGGAAGGCAATAGACTGCAGACCAGCCTCGCCCATGGACAAATAAATTCCCAAAGATAGACGGGGCGGGGCTGGTGGGGCCACCCAGGCCCAGCCCCACTGCCCCTCCTGGCTCTGCGCGGGCCCTGTTGGGCCTCCGGAAGCAGGAGTTATTGGCAGGAAACCACAGGCCACCCATCACAGGGGCAAAGATAAAGCTCTCAGCCGACTCCTCAAGTTATCTTCCCCCCAAAACCTGGTAAGATGGAGCTCTGGCCAGGGCCTGGGGGAAGTTGGAGTGTCCTCAGGTTCAGAGCCTGCCCCCAACTCCCCTCCACTGCCAAAATCAGACATCCATCCCCAGCCCCATCTCCATCCACCACCCTCCACCCTCCCCCGCCAGGGCTGGCTGCTCCGTCCCCGGGGGCCTGCAGCAAGCAGGGCAGAGAGGAGGGAGGCTCTGAGTTCCAGCCTGGCCTGTGCCCGGTCAACCTCAGTGCTGAGCTGGCGTCTCCATGCCCCACCTCTCCTCTCCCACCATCTGTCCTGCCAGGACCACCATCAGAGGGAGAGAGGTAGCAGGTGCCCAGACAAGGCAAGCACCACGTCGGTCACTCGGTGCCATCGGGGGCCCAAGACCAGCGGAGAGAGCCTGACCTTGGCGATCCGTGGCTCTGCCACTTCTTGGCTGTGGGGGTGGGTGTCACCTCGCCTCTCCGAGTCTGCCTCCTCGTCTGTACATTGGGGTGAATTGGGGTAATGAGGACAATTCCTTCTAGGTCGAGGCTCACAGGGGATGGGTCTCAGCAACGTGGGACAGAGAACTGGAGGCCACCATTGAGTGTGGGGCACAGCAGCTCTGCTGTCCCTCCCTTCCCTTCCCAACCCCAGCTCGGCCCTGAACGCAAGGGTTTGGGGTGGGCAGAGGGGCCCAGAGCTGGAGGCTTCCCCAGCCCCTCCCCTCGTTTTGCAGGTGAGGAGACCAAGCTCAGAGAAGAGAAATGAGTTGCCCAGGCTCACCCGGGGTGGTACTGGAGGTTCAAGCTGGAAGCAGGGGCCTCCCTGGCCAGCCCCCGCGCCCCCATCTTCCGAGCCGCCCCACCCTTAAGGCTGATAAGGCGTCTTCTTCCTGGTGAGCCATGAGCTGGAAGTGGTCCAGGCAGGGAGCCAGGCCTGGGGCTGGGCATCCCGGCAGCCTGTCTGAATGGGGGTCACCCACAGAGGGCTGCCGTGACCCCTTCCGGCACCCAGGTCAGTCTCTGCTTGTCGAGCAGATCAGCCTCACCCCTCGCGGAGTTTCTGCTGATCCAGTGGGTGTCATGGGCTTCTCTAAAGAAAATCCAGAGATGTTGGGAGCCAGAGCTGTGGTGGCCACGGCTCTCCTTGGCCTGATCCTGACCCCAGACAGTTTCTTTCCCAGCTGCCCCTGTGGCCATTGGAATGGGAGGCACCAGGACACAGCTGCTTGTGCTGGGGAGTGGAGTGGATGCTGAGACTGTGTGGGCCATTCTGGGTCCCTTTTCAGCCACCCTTCTCCCTGACATGCACACCACATTCTGGAGAGTGGTGGGGGTAGGAGGGAAAGGTGGGAGGAAGGGAGGGAGGGAGGGAGACACAGAAGGAGGGAAGGAGGGAGAAGGAGGGGAAGGGAAGGGAGGGAAGGGAGGGAAGGGAAGAGAGGGAGGGAGTGAAGGGAAGAAAGAGAGGGAACAAGTGAAGGGAAGAGAGGGAAGGAGGGAGTGAAGGGAAGAGAGGGAGGAAGGAAGGGAGGGAGAAGGAAGGGAAGGCAGGGAAGGGAAGAGAGGGAGGGAGGGAAGGGAGGGAGGAAGGAATGAAGGAAGGAAGGAAGGAAGCGAGGGAGGGAGGGAGGGAGGGAGGCAGAGAGGGAGGGAAAGAGGGAGAAGGAAGGGAAGGGGAGGGAGGGAGGGAGGGAAGGGAAGAGAAGGAAGGAGGGAGTGAAGGGAAGAGAGGGAGGGAGGAAGGAAGGGAGGGAGGGAGAAGGAAGGGAAGGGAGGGAAGGGAAGAAAGGGTGGGAGGGAAGGGAGGGAGGGAAGGGAAGAAAGGGAGGGAGCGAAGGGAAGAGAGGGAGGGAAGGGAGGGAGGAAGGAAGGAAGGAAGGGAGGAAAGGAGGGAAGGAGGGAGGGAGGGAGGAGAAAGGAAGAGACAGGAAGGAAGGGAAGGAGGGAGGGAAGGAAGAAAGGAAGGAAGGAGGGAGGGAGGGAGGGAAGAAAGGAGGGAGGGACGAAGGAAGGAAGAAAGTAAGGAGGGAGGGAAGGAGGGAGGAAAGAAGGAGGGAAGGAAGGAAAAAAGGAGGAAGGGAGGAAGGGAGGAAGGAAGAGGGAGGGAGGGAGGGGAGAGGGAGAGAGGGAGGGAGGGAAGGAAGGAAGGTCAGGAAGTTCTTCAATCTACGTCTGTTCCTCTCACACCACCACCATGTCTTCCTCCTCCTCCTCCGCCTCCTCCTTCTCCAAGGAGCCACACTTGCTGACAAAGAGACTGACGGATGGGCCGACAGACTTGCTCGGACAGACGGATGGACTGACAGACTTGCTTGGAGCACACACACGTGCTTCCGTGACAGCCTGGGCCCTGGCCCTGGCCCTGAGAAAGCGGACTGGCCTGGAGCACCGTCTCATTTGGGGATCTTATCATATCCAAAGTGCACCCCAGGGACCTACATTTATTTTCCTGCTGCTGATAACTCCACAGGAGCAAGACAGCCAGCTGCCAGGGTCAACGTCTCTTTCCCTGGCTCTAAAATGCATCTTTCTGATCCAAGGCCTGTGATTTCTCACCCTCGGGCCCTGCCCCAGCGACCTCAGGGACAGACACCTGCCTTTGTTCTGGGCGTTTGGGGCTGAGGTGGGCGGGGCAGAGGCCAGAGCTCCACACTCTGGAGTCCAGCAGGATTCTCCTCACAACAGCCCCATGAGGCAGGTCCTGGAGCCCGCATTTGACAGATCAGGAGACTGAGGCTGCGGGGGTTGAGTCCCTGGCCCATGGTCACACAGTAAGTAGTTCCCTTGTCTGCTGGTGGCTGGGAAGGAGGCTCCCCAAAGTCTGAGGGCTTGGCCCCGGGCCCACTCCAAGCCTCCAGCACTTGAGAGCCGCCAGTCCTGCCTTATAAGCCCAAAGACCGGGTGGCCGGCTCGGGTATTGGGCCGGGCCTTGTAGGGAGACAGCCGTGCTGCCAAGCACTCGGCCCCAGGACAGCCTCCCCGTCCTGGCTAAATTTAGCGGCTCTGTGCAGTGTGGAGGCTGGAGGCTGGCTGGAGCCCTCAAGGGAGCAGACACGAGTTCCAACGGGTCTCCTTAGTCACTCAGGGGCCTGAGGATGCCAGGACCATACCCCAGTCCAACCCTGACACCATCTGGGCCAGAGATTCCTCTGATGCCACACAGCCCCCTAGACCCTGACTGGAGAAGAACCCTGGGCCAGCCTGGCAGAGGCTGTCAAGGGGAGGTTGGGGGAGGACCGACAGCTATGGGGAGGCCTGGGGAGTACAGCGCGGGCCCCCAGGTTTGGTATCTCCCATTGCCTGGACCTGGGCTGCTTCTCAGGCCTCTTCTATCCCCCAACTCTGGGTGTGACCTGGCTGAAGCCCCCCTCCCGTGTGTTTAAAGTGTCCCACCCTCCTGGTCCTCCGCCATCCCTCTGGGCCATTTCCCCTCATCCTTGGCCTCTCTGTGTCCTGGATTAAGAGAACTCCTGGGAGGCCAGGGCTGGTGGCTCATGTCTGTAATCTTGGCACTTTGGGAGGCTGAGGCAGGAGGATTGCTTGAGCTCAGGAGTTCGAGACTAGCCTGGGCAACATAGTGAAATCCCGTCTCTATAAAATATACAGAAAAAAAAATTAGCCGGGCATGGTGGTGCATGCGTATAGCCCCCAGCTGCTTGGGAGGCCGAGGCGAGCAGACCACCTGAGGTCAGGAGTTCAAGACTGGCCTGGCCAACATGATGAAACCCCATCTCTACTACAAAGACACAAATTAGCTGGGAGTGTTGGCAGGAGCCTGTAATCCCAGCTACTCGGGAGGCTGAGACAGGAGAATTGCTTGAACCTGGGACAGGGAGATTGCAGTGAGCTGAGATTGAGCCACTGCACTCCAGCCTGGGGGATAAAGTGAAACTCAGTCTCAAGAAACAAAACAAAACAAAACAAAACAGAAAAAAAATTAGCTGGGCATGGTGGTGTATGTCCATAGTCCCAGCTACTTGAGAGGCTGAGGTGGGAGGATCTCCTGAGCCTGGGAAGTGGAGGCTGCAGCAAGCCATGATCACGCTACTGTACTCCAGCCTGGGTGACACAGCGAGAGCCTGTCTCAAAATCAATAAATTAAATAAAAATAAAGAGGACTCCTGTGGGCTGGGCTAGCATGTGGCCAGCATGGTGGCCGCATCTACTTCCTCTCTGGCACTTATCTCTTTTTTTTCCTTTTCTTTTCTTTTTTTCCTTTTGAGATGGAGTCTCACTCTGTCACCCAGGCTGGAGTGTGGTGGCGCGATCTCAGCTTACTGCAACCTCCGCCTCCTGGGTTCAAGTGATTCTCCTGCCTCAGCCTCCCGAGTCGCTGGGATTACAGACACCCATCACCACACCTGGCTAATTTTTGTATTTTTAGTAGAGACCGGGTTTCACCACGTTGGCCAGGCTGGTCTTGAACTCCTGACCTTGCGATCTGCCCGCCTCGGCCTCCCAAAGTGCTGGGATTACAGGCGTGAGCCACAATGCCCGGCCTTTTTTTTTTTTTTTTTCTTCAAATCCAACTGTCTTGGGGTGTAATTCACGTGCAATAAAATGCACCCATGTTAGGCACACGGTTTAATGAGTTCTGACAAATGCACCAGCACCCTCCAAATCCATCAGCCTAGAATGCCCCCGCCTCCCGTTCGTGGTCCATCTTTCCCCAGCACCCCCAGGCCCAGGCAGTCACTGACCCGCTTTGTCACTGCAGATTTGTGCAGCCTCGTCCAGAGCGTTAGGCAGGTGGAATTGGGCAGGAGGAGCTCCTTTGTGTCTGGCCGCCTTTGCTCAGCCCAGCGGTTTAGGCTTCACGTGGCGGTTGCGTGCATCGATGGTTGGTTCCTCTCGGTTGCCTGGACATACTGCAGCTTGCTTATCCTTCATCAGTTCATGGACATCTGGGGCCTGTGCTGGGTAAAGCCACTGTGGACACTCGGGGGCCTTTGTGCGCATGTCCAGCTTCCCTTCTCCTCCCTGCTCTGATTTTGTGCCTCCATTTCTCCTAACGCAGCCCCACCGGGGCCCCTCCCACCGCTGTGAGGACTGGAGCGTGGGGTCTGGGGAGCACAGAGTCC